CACTTGGTAGCCCAGGCTGGCCTCGAACTCACAGAGATCCTCCTGGCTCTGCCTCCCGAGTGCTGGGATTAAAGGCGTGCGCCACCAACGCCCGGCTTGCCCACTGGGTTTTTGGTCTTGTTTTGGTCCAGTATTTTCTCAGTATGCTCCCTTTCCTCCCTTTTGGAATTGTAATGTGTATTTTATGCCACTGTATATTGGAAGAATGTGATCTGCATTTCTATTTTGATTTTACAGGGTTTGCAGTTAAGAGATTGCTGTGAGTCTATGAAAAGACTTTGCATTTTGGACTTTCAAACAGGGTTGATACTGATTGTTGACTTTTGCCAGTCTATGCAGATCTGTCTTCAAGACCTGGGATTTGAAGACCTTAAAGAATGGTGCAGACTACAGACTAATGCTGTAGACATTTTTATTTCAGTGGTAGACATTTTATTTGTCTACAACAAATAAACTTTTAAACAACTTTATTTCAGTTTCAGTGTATTTTTATACACAAATGAAACAAAGCAATGATTCAAAAAAGGTGTTTTTTTTTTTTGAGTTCAGAAAGACATGACCAGAAAAACATGTAAATTAAAGCTAGTAAGCACATACTAAATATTAACAGAGCAGCCCTTTCCTAGAACTTTACCAGGACAGAAAATTTAAACACAGTTGCCTGGCAGGTACTATAGATTCTATCTGGGAAAGCACAAAAACAAGGCAGAGGCCATATCCAGATTCAAGGAACAGTGAGGACAGCATTCAGCATATCCTTTCACCAAATTGGGTTCAATAGCTATGATCTGACATCTAACTAGAACAAACTTGTCTTATAAATTGAACATAAATGTCTGTCACAGGAGGCATGAAGTCACATCCAAGAACAATCCAGGGAACAGAGAGCACCTGAGGTAAAGACCCTCTGCTTTTTTTTCCCCTGGAGCCTCTCTCACAGTTCCTCAAGACATTGTTCACCATGCATCATTCTTTTGACTGTGTTCTACAACTAATTGTCTTAGGGTTTTATCACTGTGATGAGACACCACGAACCTGACAACTCTTGTGAAGGAAACTTGTTTGGTTTTTTGAGACAGGGTTTCTTTGTGTAGCCTTGGTGTCATAGAACTAGCTGTGCAGACCAGGCTGGCATTGAACCTACAGAGATCTACCTATCTCTGCCTCCCAAAGTGCTGAGATTGAAGATGTATGCTACCACCACCCCGTGAAGGAAAACATTTAAACCACTACACTGATAGACCATGGGGACTTTCAAATTTGGACTGAATGTTCTTTGCATTATGATGTAGTTACAGGCCTGTGGGGTCAGGGAGTGGAATATGGTGATGTGAATGAGAATGGTCCCCATAAGCTCATAGGGAGTGGCATTATTGGAGGTGTGGCCTTGTTAGAGTAGGTGTGGCCTTGTTGGAGGAAGTGTATCACTGGAGGGGTGGGTTTTGGGGTTTCAAATGCTCAAGTCAAGCCCAGTGGCTTTTTCTTCCTGCTGACTGCTGATCCAGGTGTAGAACTCTCAGCTACTTCTCCAGCACCATGTCTGCCTGCATGCCACCCTGCTCCCTGCCATGATGATAATGGACTAAACCTCTGAACTGTAAGCCACCCCAAGAATTGCCATGATCATGGTGTCTTCACAGCAATAGAACTCTGACTATGGCACCCTCCTCCTCTTCTTTCTCCTTGCCTCCTGCTGGAAAGTGTTGTACAGTAATGAGTAAAATTTGGTAGGACAATAACATCCAAAGACATTTCCCCACCGAGTTTTAGTTTAATAGATTTCTGAAAACTAATGCTAAGGTAGTCAAGTAAAAGCAATGACTTGAAGGGTCTGAAGGGAAATGCTTTTGACATTACTTAAGGTGAGCTTTTACTTACAAGTAAACAAATTATTAATGGGTGAGATAAAAATTAAGGGCATTTTGAAAATGTAAAAATGAAGAAATTACCAACACATACCTTTTATGTAAAAACTTTTTTCGCTAAATTATAACATAAAGGTATAACCTGATAAAAATGAGGCAAAAAGAGTTGAGTATACATCCCCATTGAAAGAACAGAGAAAGCCAGAAAGACATTGAGAATATACATTAGAAAAGTCTGTGATGATTTCATTTGTTTGTGAATGCATTTTCTATTATACCCTTAAAGAAATGAAACAAGACAAAGTGACTCCCCCTGCACCCCAAATCTAGCACCTAAGTTATGATTCTTGCAGCCTCCAGTAACAAGGCTACCATTAAGTCTACCCAAACAATAAAAGGCATATTTTCCTCTCAAACAGGAAGTCCAGAAGTCAGGTATTTCCCAGAAGTAGTATGCCAAGAGTTTATCTATATAGTTCTCTTGATTCTGACCTCTCTCTGTACAGGATTCCTTCTCTGACGATAGTAACATGATAGAAAGGTTATCTGCCATTACATGTCCATGCTCAAACCAATCACTATGTAGGAGAGAGGAGAATAACTGCCATGATTAACTAGATTAGGCCCTTTAGTAGCATGGTGGATCTGGTCAATTCTTTAGAATAAAGAGGATGCCTACAAACAGAGCTCTGTGTTACAAGTAGCTAGGAGGTTGGTTGGAACAAACTATATGCTCCAAACAGTTGAATATTGACACTTTAAAAAAGCCTTAATGGCATTGGGCATTTCTAATTTTCATGTTTCTTTATTGTTATATTATTTAAGTGTTTTTAAAAGAGCACCAGTATTTCTTTGTATCCCTAATTGATTGCCATGATTGGGTTCAGTTAGGAACAAAGCTCACCTTAAGTATTGTCGTGTCTTGGCAGATTTAACATTGGTGATTTTTAGCTATTCTGTGCAGATCTTAATAATGTATGAATTCTGAAGAGTAGTTGCAAGCCTTGCCGTGTTGTTACCTTGGCAGTTTAACATCTATTTGGGTAGTAAGTGAACCTTGTTGCCTATTTCATATCTGTGTATTAGAATATCTTTGAGTGCTTGTAAATACAGTAATTAGTTCAGCATTTTAAGAGGAAAACCCAAAAGACTCCTAATTCTTACTTACTGAGTACTGTCACTTAATTGGAGATCTTTATTTATTTATTTATTTATTTATTTATTTATTTATTTATTTATTTATTTATTTATTTTCTTCCTTCCTTCCTTCCTTCCTTCCTTCCTTCCTTCCTTCCTTCCTTCCTTCCTTCCTTTCTTTCTTTTTTTTTTTTTTAATCAAAGTCAAGGTTATTAAGTTTTGCCTGGAACTGGTTGCTGCTGTGGCTGTTTTATCTAATCAAATGTTTTGCTGACAATACCTCCCCACTTTGCCTCACCCTGATACAGTCAAACCTAAATTCCCTTTATTTATTTGAATATTGACTTTGAATTTCAAACCATAGGCCTTGAGAGTCAAATCTACATCTGGATTGTTTCCCTTGGCCTTGACCCTGCAAACGGGCTTTCATTCTTTCACCATCTATTTGTGCTTCCCTAGGTCCCAAGAATGCCTCATTGTAGAATCTTTTTGCTAGTTGCACCTCATGTAATTACCACTCACGAAATTAGCAGTGTCAACCAATATTTCAAACACTTTACTCAATTTTTAAATTTAGCTTCATATTACTTAAATATAACTCCACATAATAATTACCCAAAGAAGCATTA